TGTTGAGATATATTTTAATAATATTTTATGGTGATTGCTCCTTATTTAGCACTTTTTAGAACTTTTTGCCTTGATTACTCTCTCCTTTTGAACATTACAAATGTTAACAAGTGATTTACAGGGGAAGAGTGTGTGTGGCTAAATCCTACAAAACAACAAAAATATATTTGTTTACTGTATCAAAACCTAGTTTATACCTACATTCAGATTGTAATACCATTATATATTTAAAGGACCACTATAGGCACCCAGACCATTTCAGCTCAATGAAGTGGTCTGGGTGCCAGGTCCATCTAGGGTTAACCCTGCAGCTGTAAACATTGCAGTTTCAGAGAAACTGCTATGTTTACAATAGGGTTAATCCAGCCTCTAGCGGCTGTCTCATTGACAGCCGCTAGAGGCGCTTCCACGCTTCTCACTGTGATTTTCACAGTTAAAAGACGCTGACGTCCATAGGAAAGCAATGAGAAATGCTTTCCTATGGACTGACTGAATGCGCACGCGGCTCTTGGTGGATGACGCCGAAAGAGGGAGGAGTGTCCCCAGCGCCGAGGGAGCCCGGTGCTGGAGAAAGGTAAGTGTTTAACCCCTTAACCACTCTTAAACCCGGTGGGAGGGGGACCCTGAGAGTGGGGGGGACCTATTAACACTATAGTGCCAGGAAAACTAGTTTGTTTTCCTGGCACTATAGTGGTCCTTTAAAGACATATTGATTTTTTTTTGTACTTTCACCATTAATGGATGGAAACATTTATATATGCCACAATAGGTCAAAGTGGCTACTTCCTCTTCCAACACCAAACATTCAAACAAAAATCCCATTTCATAAATAAATGACCATTTGTATAAGTTAAGCTGTAAAGTATGTGTACATTAGTAGTCACTCACTATCCAGCGGTTAGCATAAGGTATGCCTTAAAGCGGCACTGTCATGCCGAACTTACCTTTCCTCAATCTCTTCCTCTTCTCCCCCTCTCTCAGGATCTGTTATTCTTTTCTTCCTGTCTTCTTTAGTTTTCTTTAAAATCATAAGACAAAGTAGGGACTCTTTGCCTTATGGAGGATTCCTCCGCTTGACCAGCTCTGACCAGCGGAGGAGCAAAGTGTGCTTCATTTCCGCTGGTCAGAGCAATTTTCCCATGATCCCTAGCTTTCCTCAGTGTTCCCACAATGCTTCCTGTCACTTTACAAAACTGCCGAATTGCGTTCTAACTGAATGAGAACAGTCTGTTCGTTTCTTTTAGAACGCAATTCGGCACTTTATTCGGATCGGAATTTCATTCTAATGAATGAAACTCTGATCCTATTCATTGCTGTGGCTGCATCTTGCAGCCGCTTAGTAGATAACTCCCTAATTCCCACGGTATCAGGGAGCTATCTACTAAAAGGCTGAAAGACCTAAATTGGTCTTTCAGCCACATTTACTAATACTAAGTAAAGATTACTTAGTATTAGTAAATTAAATGCCCCTACTCGCTATACCGCGAGTAGGGGCATGTCTGGTAAACAGTGAGCAGCCTGTGGCTGCTCACTGTAAAAAAAACTATTGGCCCCCACCCCTAAACCACGGGTGGGGGCCCTAAAATAAAATAAGGGGGGGAGACCTACTGCCCCCCCCGGCCCCCACCCCTGGGCGGCGGGTGGGGGCCCTACTGCCCCCCCCCCGCCACCACCCCTGGGCGGCGGGTGGGGGCCATAGTGAGAATTAGGGGGGACGACCTACTGCCCCCCCCCGGCCCCCACCCCTGGGCGGCGGGTGGGGGCCATAATGAGAATGGGGGGGGACCTACTGCCCCCCCCCGGCCCCCACCCCTGGGCGGCGGGTGGGGGCCATAATGAGAATGGGGGGGGGACCTACTGCCCCCCCCCGGCCCCCACCCCAGGGCGGCGGGTGGGGGCCATAATAAGAATGGGGGGGGACCTACTGCCCCCCCCCCGGCCCCCACCCCTGGGCGGCGGGTGGGGGCCATAGTGAGAATTAGGGGGGGGGACCTACTGCCTCCCCCCCGGCCCCCACCCCTGGGCGGCGGGTGGGGG